TCAACCATCACAACAGTGCACTTGTTCCTTCTTCAATGCCCTGTACAATTTTCACTGGGAAACCTTACCCTATCCACTGTACAGTCCTGATCTTGCCCTTTCAGAGTTCTTTTTGTTCTTCAGACTCAAAGGACATTTAAAAAGAGCATGATATCTGTCCTTCAAGATGCCAAAACTGCCATTATGGAATAATAGAAATTGAAGAGTGCAGACTTCTTTGGAGCTGCATTAGAGAGATGGAAACACTGCCTTTAGAAATGTGTAGACCTAGATGGAGGCTGTGTGGATGCAGTAGCTGCACATTTTCATATTTGTGTATACTAAAAGTTTCTCTGACTTTATAACTATACTTGTTTACTAACTCTTCTTTCAGTTTTTTGAAATGTTAATCTTCCGAAGAGAACTCAAAGGTTTCTGTCTTTAAATTAAATCCTTTCTTCTAATGACACGTTCAAATCGTTTGCTTTTTTCTTTTGGTTATAGTTCTAAATATATATATTGGTCTTTTTTTTAATGTTGTTATGCTAATTTAATTGAGGAGCTCTGGTAGCGTAGTGGTTATGAGTTAGGCTGCAATCCTCAAAGTCAGCAGTTCGAAACTACCAGTCATTCCATGGGAGAAAGATGAGGCTTTCTGCTTCCATAAAGATTTACTGCATCGGAAACCCTATGCAGGGTTGTTATAAGTCAGAACCACCTCCACAGCACATAACTACCACCATACAATGTAAGATTTAGCTCATACCATTGTCCGTGCTAAGGAGCTCTGGTAGCGTAGTGGTTACTAATTGGGCTGCGAACCGCAAGATCAGCAGTTCGAAACTACCAGCTGTTCCATGGGAGAAAGATGAGGTTTTCTGCTCCCGTAAAGATTTACAGCCTCGGAAACCCTGTACAGGGTCGCTATGAGTCGGAACCGACTCCACGGCACATAACCATCACCACATTGTCCCTGCTTTTTCTCAACATATTTTTGATAGAATCTATGGGTAGTGTTTGCATTATTAAGACTATGCATGTGTTGTTCAGTGCTGAGCTCTAAATGTAAGTCTAGGCTTATATTTCTTCTACATTTTCTATTCCTTAGAATTAGTAATTCATTTTTTAAAAAATGGCTTAGTTTTGTTAGTACATATCACTATAGTTTTCTAAATGCTGCAACATATTGGTCAGAAATAATTGTAATAATTTTGTTTTATTCTCTTAAGTCATCCAATTTGATTTACTAAAGGAGGTTGGAATTGAGAAGGAAAAAAATTCTTCATAGTTGTTGTTGTTGTTAGGTGCCATTGAGTCAGTGCTGACTCATAGTGACCTTATGCACAGCAGAACGAAACACTGCCCGATCCTGGGCCGACCTCACTACTGTTGCCACGCTTGAGCCCATTGATGCTGCCACTTTGCCAATCCATCTTGCTGGTGGTCTTCCTATATTTCTCTGACCCTCCACCCTACCAAATATAATATCCTTCTCCAGAATGGTCCCTCCTGACGATATGTCCGAAGTATGAGAGACATTAATAATCAATAATTAATTTTGATCTGATCTTTTGAATTCTTACTCATTTTAGAACTTCGCCACCTCTTTTTTTTAAAAATCACAACCATGTAAATAGTCAATTGTAGCAACAGTATATTAAGAAAGAAAATTGTTTCCAGACTCTAAAGCCAGTTTCTTTCTACTTTAGACAGTTGGATGTTTTTACGCCAAATGAGTAGTTGTTTAGTATTTTGAGAAAGATGAAAGAATTCTAAATTTCATATTGTTAAGTGCCGTCAAGTTCTGAGGTTTCCAGGAGCAGCTGATGGGTTTGAACTGCAGACCTTGTAGTTCACAGTACTACTCCTACAACACCATAACAAGACTTCAGAGTAGTGACTTTTCTATTTCTTGATGTATATCAAAAATTACAGTACTAAATAGTATAAAGTTCAATTTATGTGTGGTTGATATTTTGCTGAAAATTGAGATTTTTAAGAAGCTAAAATATATCCAGCATAATTACATTACACCAGTATTTTTGACTGTTAATTAAGTGAGTAGGTCTTATTGAGTAAGTAGGTCCAGAGGAACCTCAGTATGTCATATGAGCCAGTCCCCTGCCCCTGCTTCCATAGTTGAGTATCTAATTCATCTGGGATTGGGAAGTGGTGTTTAAATCCCATCAACTAGTCTTAAAACTTTCGGCAAGACCGTAACCTTATAGGCCTAAATTCCTTATTTTGTAAAATGAAAGGGTTGATTAATTGATCTTGGTGGTGGTGGTGGTGATGTGCTGTGGAGTCGGTTCTGACTCGTAGCAACCCTGTAGTTAGGGATAATGCTCCAGACTGCAAAGCCATTTGAACTGCAAGGTAGGAAGTTCAAGCTCACCAGCTGCTCCTCAGAAACCCTATATAGGGTCGCTATGGGTTGGAATCAACTCAGTGGTACTTAACAACAATGACAACAAGTTATTAATTTGGTTTACAGGTATGGAGCTGCAGGATCAGCACTGGGTTCCGAACCACAATGTTCACAGTTTAAACCCACCAGCGGTTCCTCAGAAACCCAATACAGAGTCACAGAGTTGGAATCGACTCAGTGGCACTTAACAACACCACAAAATTATTAATTAAAAGAGATTATTTCCGTACTTCACTTTTCATTGGCACTGTGGGTTAATACACTGGAGTGCAAAGTTGGTTTGAACTGCCAGGTCAGCAGTTCAGGCTCACTAGCCACTCCTCAGAAATCCTATATAGGATTGCTATGAGGTAGAACTAAGGAGCTCTGGTAGCGTAGTGGTTACGAATCGGGCTGCGAACCTTAAGGTCAGCGGTTCGAAACTACCAGCTGCTCCGCGGGAGAAAGATGAGGCTTTCTACTCCCGTAAAGATTTACACCCTCGGAAACCCTATACAGGGTCGCTATGGGTCGGAACCGACTAGATGGCACATAACAACAACAACAACATGAGGTAGAACTGACTCGTCGGTACTTAACAGCAGCAACAATATTTATAATTAATAAACCCTGGTAATTTGTAGCAGTCATATCATATTGATTTGTATTTCTCATGCTTAACCAAATCCTTACTCCCTTTTTTTTTTTTTTTTTTTTTATAGTTTTTATTGTGAATTGAGTGAAAGTTTATAGGGCAGATCATCAATTTTACATTCAACAAAAAACAAAACTTTGTTTCATTACAATGGTAATAATCCCGTCCATGTACCATCAGTTAACAGTATTTATCTTTATTCATTTTAGCTTTTTTCCAAAACACTCAGGCATATATAATAATTTAAACTACCAAAGGGCACATTCTGTAAGTTTGCCTCCTGGTCACCAGCTCTCAGTCCCTCTTTTTCCATGAAGCTAGAGTCCTCAGCTGCTACCTTTCTCCATGTCCCCATCTCTGCCTCCATCTCTGGTGTCGCTGCTTCTCTGGATAAGGTCCCACATTCCGCTTGTGATCTTCTCCCATGATGATCCTAGGGGCCTCTCCTTACTACCTTTTAAGACTGTTACTTGGGTTCAGTCCCCTCTGGTGATAAAGAAGCAGCTATCACCATCTTCAAACTTCCCCTAGACTTCAAAATAACTGTTTTTAACTGTCTTATTTTTCAAATTGAATTACCTATAAAGAACCCTTTTTCTCTAAAGAGCTGTTCTAATCCCTTTCATCACTTAGTTTGATGTCTGTAGATTGTTGAAAGACAAAGCTCAAGAGTAAGTAGACATAGGAAAGTGTTTCTGTGTCGATGTCTCCTGCTTCCTCGTGTCCATTGCTGTCTTTCTCACAGGACACTACTGTCTGTGGTGCCTCTAAGGCATGACTGTTTTATAACAGTTTACAAAGTAATACATGCATATGATTAAAACTTCTAAAAAAAAAATACAAAACTGATCTTGCATAACTAACTGCAAGCGTCAGTTTTCTTCCCCAGAGACAACTGTTGTTACCAGTGTTTTGTATATCTTTTGGGAGCTGGTCTATAAAATATGTTTCAGTTGTTTTGTTTTTAAACATGCAGGCTTGGATACCCTGCCTACTGTTCTGCACCTTCCTCGGCTATCCAGTCATTAGCAGGTCCTCCCATATGGGTGCATTGCAGGGCTGCTACTCTAGTACTCCATGTACTCCACAGGGCGCCTTTTACCAGAGTGGATGCCTGGGGAAATGTAGGCCAGGCCAGCAGCCCTGGTACATGCCTCATGTCTGCTGTTGTCTTTATATAGTTTCATCCATTGTAGGGTGAACTGTAGCTTATCTTAACTAGGATGCATTTCAAAGTTGATTTTAGTCAATTTTTTTTTTTTTTTTAAGGAAAGACCATCAAAATAAGATTCTTAAACATTCAGGGTTTTTAAAGTGATTTATTTATTTTTTTTTAATTTAAGATTTTTATTGTGGATTGAGTGAAAGTTTACAGGGCACATCATCAGTTTCACATTCAACACTTCATATAACT